TAAGAATTATCCAACATAATTGCTAACATCATTTTTTATGCAAAACTTAATCAAATAAAGAAGAAAGCATAGCGATATTTTATTATCCATGAACCTTTATAGCTAAACATGCTTCTAATAATGTAATTCACATAACTAAAAAATTTATGATTGCTTTTCAACAAATACTCACTTTGACACAGCTTGGAATGCAAAAACAGCGAGAGATTTATACATAACTTACTTTTAAAACAACTCGGAAGCTTGAAAAAATGAAAAAATTGCATGTATCTCATTCCCACAACAATTCAAAAGCTTAAAACAATGAAAAACTGCACTTATATCATTCACACAACAATTCAGAAGCTTAAAACAATGAAAAACTACACTTATATCATTCCTACGACGATCCAGAAGTTAAAAACTATGAAAAAATTGCATGTATATTGTTACCAAAATAGTTTGGGATATCGAAATAGCAAAAATCTGCATATACCTCGCTTCCAACACAATTCGGCACATGAAAACAATGAAAATCTGCATGCTACTCATTCCCAAATCCATTTAGACAGTTAAAAACAGTAAAAGCTGTATGCATCTTGTTCCCAATCAACTTAGAACACAAGAAATAATGAAAAACTGCATATAGGCCACTCCCAAATCAGCTTGGAGCTAAAAGGGCATGAAAATTCTGCATTTTTTTTCACAAAACCAGTGAGAAAAAGTCTCATAAAAGCTGTAGCAATTTTCACAAAGAAACAAGGAGAGATCCACTCAAATGCCATAGGAACTCTCATGTAAAACAGCCATGAAATTCTTAAATTCTGCACTTGTTTGAATATTTACACAATGCTAAAATACCATTCTCTTAGCTTTAAACAATCCATGCTTCCGCTACAAATACAAACTAAAATATAAATCATGTAGGAGTGTAGGTTTGGAATAGTTATGCACTTTTTTGTTTTAACTTTCTCCAACCATTTATAAAACCTCATGAATCGAGTTATAAAATCACTTTATGCATTGTCACCATTTATACATAAACTTCTAAATCATATGACATGGATTAAAAGTAAAGCTCATATATCAATTATTCATTCCAAAACAAGACAACTCAATGTGTATTGTAGCAAACTCAATAATGACCACCACAAAATATGCACACGACGAAGGGTTTTGGAAAGGTACTTGAAGTGAACATAGCAACTAGTACTTCGCACATACACTTACTTACGAAAAGTTCATGTGCACATTTAATTGAAACGTATCAACAAAATCTTGCTTAAGATTCACCAACATTTATCACAAACAAAGTACCAACCGTAAGATTCATGAGTTGTGATTAACATAAAATTTCATTTCAAATCAAAATATCACCATTCTCTCCCAATGACAATATACCAAACATCTTGCATGCCTATTATGAAGAATTCTAAAACCACCCACTTGGAGCAAAAGGAAACTATCACAAGACATGGGCCAAAGGAAATATTTTACATTAGCTGGAAAGGTAGATTATCAATCAAAGCTAAATGATACACTAGGGAAGCTAGGCAAACGACTTTCCCTTATTATCGCATTGCCAACAACAACTTCTTCATTTTTCTATTATTTTTGCTGGTTTTATTTGCAGCCATGGTGATGATCACCGAAAGAAAAAAAAAAAGTATTTGCTATTTTCTCGATCGAGATAATCTATAGACAATAAGAGAACTTTAAGCAAAGAAGATTGATCGCTAGACTGATCTTACTCTTCTTAAAAATACTACAACTAGAATTAGTATTTCTATGAAAATATTTTTCAGCAATAGTAGAAGGTCTAAATTTCAGCCAAAACTATAACAGGAGTCTGCACTAGAATATGTTTACATATCTAAATTCAAATTTGAGCTAACCAAAATAAAGCTAAAATTTAATTTGAGCATGAAACCATACCTACACCTAAATCTCATTATAATCTAAATCTGTTTTTAAAACATAGAAGCTTGCAGATTCTTAGGACAACAACTCTAAATTCAAATTCAACGCTAAATTTTAAACACGCTGTTTCATGCTCCTCCAGGTTATGAGATTTTCTCTCAAACATATTCTTTCCACTAACAATCCCGCATAATTTGCATTAATATACCTTTCAATTTATAAAATATTCCACTTTTATAGGGAATTCATTTACCAATATTTGATTTAAAATATTTAGTGATTCAATAAATAGCTTGCAGGTGAGACTTTTTAAATTTGTGTATGAATTGATTTATGAGACAAACTGCAAATACAAAGTCTGGAAGTTTGCAGCCAATCTCCAATAATTTTCTCACACGAGGACACTTCTCTTTTAGCCAAATAATTTCAAAGACTTTTGAAGCTAATCACACTTGGAATTATTCTATATAATAGTTGAGACTGCTTTTCTTCAATATCTTTTTGACACTTTCTTCTGAAAGAGAAAAGTTTTGATGACTTTCAAAAGATAGAAAATTTTCTTGTCTAACACTTCATTTTGTTCGGGAGGGTCAGCATAAGCTAATTAATAGAAGATAAATTCTTTCTAGTTGAAAAATAATACTGTAAAATTAAAATAATCATGAGCATTATTAATCCAAAATACTTTAATATTAGCATTAAGTTATTTTTACATAATGACAATAAAAAATGAGAGAATAATATTGACATCATATATTTATTTGATAAAATATACACATGTTATCCAAAGTGCAATCACCAATAAAGATGATAAATCATGTAGTTTCAAAAATGTTGGGAATTTCGAAAGGTCCCAAAATGCCAGAGTGAACTAGAAAAATAGTGAAATATTGCAAATATTTTTTAGAATAAACAAGAAGATAATATTTGACAATTTTATAAATCTTACAATGAAAATCTTTTCATATTTACATTCAAACAAAAAAGAAGAAAACATGCATTACAGAGTTTTGAAAGAGTGATGTCTTAACCTATAATGATGTTCTTAAATGACTGATGTATTGAAGATGAAAAATGACAAGTGAATTTTGTGTTAAAAGAAGATATAGCTCGTTATTATTTTTTCTACCTTGCACAACCATCTTCCAAAAGTGAGGTCCTTAAATACGCAATGATTAGTTAAAAAAAGTAACCTTTAAGTTGTGGTCTTCAATGATTTTATAAATTAACTAAAGATTTCCTACAATACGAGAAATATGCAATATATTCCTAAAGGTAAATATGAAAGAAATTTTAATATTTTCTTTACTTGCAAAATTTATTATAAAACCATCAGCCATTTTTATTTTTCTAATGTTAGGATTTAGGATAGGGTTAAAAAATTTAAAAAAAGGTTGCCATAAGGCCAATGGCTTATGAATCTTAAATTCAAGTGTGACAAAAATTATTTTAAAGAAATAAAAACAACGAGTCATAAACAAAAGTTAGAATTCATATCATTTTGAGCTAGAGAGCATAGCTCTGATAATTTTTCTAGATAATTGAAAAAAATCTTGAATTTATCAATTTCTCCTGTACTGAGCATTTCTAATTCCGCAAGACAGACTCCTACCGTTTTTAATAACCTTTATTTTCGCCTTAGCTTGAGATCTTTCCGTGAAATTTCCAGCATTGTTCTTTGATGTATCATTTCTTGTAGTATTTGCACCAAAAATTACCTTTTAAAGAAATCTTTTGTCCTTCATTACAGAAATACTCTATAACAGTAAATCCCTCGTATTAGGATTTGATGGCTTTCATGGCAGATGTTTTGGAGACCAAAACATCTGCAATTACCGTCCTTCATCTTCAACTCGTATGAGGAAAAAAAATCTCATTTAATGATAATAGATTTTCTCTTCTTAAGATTTGAATACAAACTTAGTTTAGGTTATTATCAAGTCATACAAGATACTCAAACACGCTTTTTTATTTTACAAATTACTTGAGAATTTTTGCATCATAATAGCATATCATCTTGAGATCTTGGTAATAATCTAATTCAAACCAATATTTATGTACGTAATATATTAAAATCTTAATTTTGATCTAATAAAAGAGGAAAACATCCTCTATTTATGAGTGCATTTGTTTTACGGCATTCCAATTTTCTTTTGCAATAGAGATATGGCACCTATCTATTTCAAGCATCATGTATTCCACAACCATCTCATGATTATGCAATCCATTTCATCCCAAAATATAAAGTTTAGATTCCTCAACTAATCCAAAAGATGATGGATCTTTTCCTTTTTCAAAAAATTGGGACCACCTAATAACTTTTCTTTTTCAAACGATATGAATCTTATATCCCATAGAGTTCTCCCTTAATCTGATTTTCACAATTCATGATAGTTGACTTCTTAGAAGGAATGTCAAAAAATCATACATAAAGAAGAGAATGATGAATCTTGATAAGAAGAAAAGATAAAAAAGATTGAAAGAAGAAAACCAAAATCATAATTTTTTAACATATGAACATAGGTCTTTACATCATTTGATTTCCATCGTGCTCTTAATGTTTTTTAAATTACACAATAGTTATCAGGATACAAAGAAATTCACATGCATCGTGCTCTTAATGTTTTTTAAATTACACAATAGTTATCAGAATACAAAGAAATTCACATTCATGTTGCATGAATTTTCTCACCTCATGTTTGATTAAGATGCCCTACATCACTAATCATTAAACATTAATTTTATCTACCATCGTGCTCTTAATGTTTTTTAAATTACACAATAGTTATCAGAATACAAAGAAATTCACATTCATGTTGCATGAATTTTCTCACCTCATGTTTGATTAAGATGCCCTACATCACTAATCATTAAACATTAATTTTATCTACAGTAGTTTTGATACATTTTTAACCCTTTGTACAAATTAAAATCACAAAAGCATGACATGTTCATAATAATAACAAACTTCATCATGTTAGTACTATTTAAAACTAATGCAATAGATAATTGGTCCCATGTTAATCATATGAACATTAGAGGAAACCCATTTTCACAATTTCAGAAAATAACTAGACAGAAAATTGATAAGAAAAACATCATGAGCATAAAAGCCAACATATAACATTTGATAAAACGTACATCACCTTAGTTAATAAAAGGTAAAAAGTTTAATCAAGATATCTATCATTTTAAAAGAGTTTAGTTTCATCTCACAGTTTCTAAAGAAGGGGAGAAAATTGCCACACTAACCAACTTAAGGAAGTAATAGTTCAGATATTAAGCCTAGTACATTTCATGAATTATCTCAATGTAATAACTACCGGTACTTAATAAATCCAAGCATCCAAGAAAGAAAACAGTTTTTTTGAAGATAACTTAAATTCCAAAGCCAAAGAGAGCCCTTATCTTGTGAAATATCAGCTCTCTCCATCCCCTCTCTGTGTTCTCTATCACTGTAGAATTCCCAAACCTGTAGAGAAAAAAATAATGATCTGATTTGAACTTTAAATCAAGGAACTAAATTGCAATGTGATAATATCAATTAAGGAATAAAACGTATTTACAAACAAAACCAAACAAATAAGAAAGATACATAAGCTGCAGTGAACAAAATTGGGCATCTATGCCAGCAAAAGTTGCAGAAAACAAATAAAGCTCACCTATCCTCTTCAGGAACCCCGGTCTGAATTAGCTTTACAATTGCAACACCGGGCTCTGGCTCATCAAAATCAAGCCTTACCTGCGTTAGGAAATGAATTAATCTTAGAACCTAAATATAATAGGACACGCCATTCTTCAAATCAACAGCTATATCTCCTCACCGATGAATATATCCCCTCAACCCAGCTACTGAATCTCCATTTCTGCACTATTAGTTTCCCTTCCTGCAACTCCTCATTTATTCCAGTGATCGACCCATCAAAGAGACTGAACTGACCTCCCACGTCCTTGCTGATTCTAGCATTGCTCTGCGTGAAGCCTTTCCACCTATTCTCGTCCATCAATATCTCATAAATGTCCCTCGCCCTGCAGCTAAACCTCTCAGTCAGCTTAATTGTCTTGAATCCCTCCTTTTCCTTCTTCTGCTTCTTTACAGCAATATCAGCTGCATCCCTGTTCGCTGTCACTGCGACGGAAGCTTTCTCCTGCGGCTTCGCAGAAGATGAAGGAGCCTTTTTCTCTTCAAGCTCGTCCTTGGCCGGGCCACCGTTCGACATAGACTGCACGTATGACCGAATCCTTTCCAGAACGACTGGATTTCCCTTGGCAATGAAGGCATCTTTGATCCGGCGACCTACAGGCCCATCGTCATCACGGACAACGACTCGGAGCTCAGGATCTTCGCCGGCGTTCTCGTCAGCAAGGTAAGGTACCTCGACGGATCCAGTGAAACGAATAAGTGGCTCGGCGTCAGCTGAATCGCTGCGTGCCTCCGCTTCGAAAGAGAGGGAAATGGAGAGCTCGTAGCCAGGTATGACCTTGCCCTTCCGAACGTTGACATAGGCCTCTCCATCAAGTTTGTCCAAAGTCTTGGTCCGAATGAAGATGCCACCATCTCCGTCGAGGATGGTGAGGTCGGAGAGGAGGGAAGATAAGAGCGAGCGGGACCATTCGAGGCAATCGCGCTCCGCCCAGTGCCAATTATGGACATTTGTGCCGTCCGCGCGCTCAGAAACGATCCATCGCTTGTCGCCCTCGCCATACTTCGCCATTGGTGTTAGGGTTTCAGTAAGATTTGAACGATGCACCTATGGTGTTCGAGTTCGCCTACAAAGCTGGAGTCGCCTGGGGAGCGGGGATGAATAAAAATAGCAGGGGACTTCTGGATGCTTCGAATTAGAAATGTTGGAATATGTTTGGTCTACTTGGAAATAGTTGGAATATTTATATGATATTTGCCTAATTACATAAACATATCTAACCTATAGATGGGTGGGTTAAACTTAAGGTTTTATGCAAATGAGTGTAGAAATGAATATTTGAATACTCACTCATACAACTTTTATGTTTGTTTTTATTACTAAGTGCTAAAAAAAGTTATGAAAATAGAGATTAATATTTATGAAGATTTAGTACAAACAAATGAAACATGGTTATATGAGATATTAGAATTTTTATGTGAAAATTAAAAAAGAAAAAAAGAAAAAAATGATAAGATATATACCATTTGAAATGATTCGACTAATGTTTGTCACTAATTATAAATGAAGTCTTTTCTCATAATTGGAAAAATAATTCATAAAATATATTATATATAAATTATATGAAATGAATTGCGAGGTGGAGGTTAGAAATGCTTTGTAACATGAGAGCTATTTTCAAGAGATTATATGCTATATGTTTGATCATTCTTTTTTGAGAAGGGAATGTCATAACCAAGAAGTCCATCATAAATCTTAGTGTTGACATTAGGAGTAAGAGTTAATATTGATGATGTAAATAGGTCTTACAAATGATGGTGTTCATTGACAATATTGGAGACAAAAAGCAACCATGATAGCCAACTTTAATGTAATTGGGCATTGGTGGTTGAAGTCTGTCACGACCCGACCCGACGGGGACGGATCCCGCCCGAGCCGGACCGCGACAAAACCTTCTTATCCAGGATCTGGCTTTGGAATTTGGTTTCGGAACTGAATCTTCCAAATATTTAAACTCAACAGACACACAACCACAGAGCTACTATTTATCATCAATCACAGACTTTCTCTCTCCTCGGCTGATATTTTCGTTTTTAATGATTTTCTCTCTCCTCAAAATGACTTGAAATCAGCTTTATAATCTTCAGATCGGCCCGGCCGATCGCCAAATCGTCCCGGGACGATCAGACCATCTTGGATCTTCCTGTACGGTTCCTAGAACTATTCTCAGGCCGATATTTTCTACAGTGCCAATCGGCCTCGACGATGTCCTCAATCGGCCTGGACGATGTGTACAGAAAATCACCTGGAGCAAAATTGGACACATTCTGGAGCAGATTTACAACTGATCGTCCCAGGACGATCCAGATCGTCCTGGACGATCCTGAAGCAGATTTTTGATATTACAAAGTCAAGGGACAACGGAAGGAGGATAATAATCAAATAATGATGATTGAAATATCGTAATCAAGTGATTGTAGTTGGAGAACTACATGTAACACCTAATGCAATGATGCTCTAAATTGGTCTAGATCCAGTCGGGTAAGTTCTATATGTTTGAAATTTTGGATTTTCTTCCTACACATGTGTATGAATGTTTTGTATGTGTGAATGTATGAATTATGTTCTGGAGCATACACCAAGTGTCTGTGTGTATGAAATATGACTTGTATAATTTTCCATTTGGAGTGTCGTGGGGTTGGGGTTGGGGTTGGCACCGCTCTGACATTGTGCACTCTATATCTTGTAGGATAGGGCTGTCAAAAATTGACACGACACGATAACACAACCCAAACTCGATTTGAAAATTTTGGGTTAGGGTCAACCGGTTTAAAAACCTGGCCAAGTTCGAATCTACAATTCTAACCTGTTGGAAAGTCTGGGTCTTGTTCGGGTTAAACCGAGACCCTGATAATGACCCACGCAGTCTAATTAGGGTGTGTATGGGTGCTTTTGCGATTTAGTACTCTCACCCACTATTCATTTCTCATTTTGGGCAAATTATTACGTCAGGTCACCCAACAGAGAGATGTGTTCGGTCTCTCTCTGTCTACAGTAACCTGCGCTTTACTGTAGCACTGCTACAGTAAAGCGCAGGTTACTGTAGACAGAGAGAGACCGAACGCATCTCTGCGTTCGGTCACCTGACGCAATAATTTGCCCTCATTTTGACGCTTCTACGACTCTCAGCTCTCCTCCCTCTCATTCTCTTGCTTCGTCTAGGGTTTCCTCTTCTCCTCGGTTCTCCAGTATCCCCCAACACAAAACTCTCCTCGATTCTCCAGTATTTGTTGCTTAGTCAAGCTTAGTTTTGACTCTAGCGTTCATAACATGCACATCTCCCCATCCTCAAAAAGAACACTTACACCATTGTTTGAATCTCATTTCTTTTTTTCTATTTTCCCTTATAAAAGCTTCAGCTTTGAGCATCTATGGGTATCAAAATTTTTTGAAGGATTTAGATTTCGTAATCTCGATTTGTTCCTTTCGAAGGAATGTTTTGCTTAAGGTTTTTTCATTTGTTGTTGTTCTTGTCGAATTTTGTCTTGGTTAGTCGGTTTGTTCATTCCAGATGAAGCTTGTCTTGGACTGCTCAATTTTTATTTTTGCGTTGAAGAATTTAGGTTAGTTGTTGTCTGCCAAAGTTGCAATCAAATTATTTACTTGTTAAGGTTGTTGTCTGCACTATGCAGTGGAAGTATTAATATACCATTATGATTTCTAGTTTATGATTTAGGCGTGCACTGATGGTTTGCTGAAATAAATTGATTTGTTAATTGATTCATAGTTTGTATTTCATAATAATTGTTGTAAATTGTTTCTCTTTCATATGCGATAAATTGATAATTGCTGTAAACTATTTTAATTTTATAATTTATAGTTTGGAAATCGACTGTTTGTAAACCTGTTGTAAGTTATCCAAATCTTTCATTCTTTGGTATTGTTGCTTCAGACCCGGGTTGGCGGATTATGACGGGTTGACATGGGTTCGAAGTGGGTTGGGTTTGGGTTTGATAAAGTGACCTGTTTGGTCGGGTCAAATAGTGTCGGGTTAGATTCTGTTTGGACCCAAACCCAACCTGAAACCCGATTTTGACATCCCTATTGTAGGAAAAAAAAAAAGGGGATCTCTAGGGGCGCTATCTATTGTCCCTAGCATTAGATCATAGTCAGATAAAATAATGACCGACTCGTTCTAAGCTCACGTGACCTCAATCAAATAGCATTCAACAAAATAAGCTTCATATCTACCTGATTCCTTAAGAGCCTGAATTAAGGTTTCACAGAGGGCTTTTGACATTAGAAAAGTGTCATATATGCTAAGTTGAGCAGGAATTTTTTTGTATGTGAGACAAAATATTGTAGTCATTTAAGGTCTAAGGGAGCATTGTGGCACTAGGTCTTTGAACGCTACAATTATAACATCAAATATTTTATAAATATTCAAATATACTCATTTTCCATTTTGCCAAAATTTCTTTCCACCTTAAGCAGCCAGCTAAAGAGTGGAGGTGGAGAATTTCTAGAGAGAAAGAGAGAGAGACTTTTTCGAGCTGCTTCGAGTTGATTTCGTCTGTTGGGACAGCATAGAAAATTATTCAAGTCAAGGTAGGTTACGTTTTGCCGATATATATTTTTAATAATTTTGAGTTTTATTATTTTTTTTCTTACATTTTAATTAAAATTTTAACACAAAACAACATATATCTACTCACTAGGTAAATTTTTTACTATGTAACTTTTGGTATGTCTTAGTTGTTAATATTAAGCTCATTTTAATATTTTAATTATAAATTTTCACCGGGTAGTTTTGCAAAACCTCTTTTCAATGATTTGGGAAAAAATTTATATGCCTATTTATAGTATTGTTGTACAATAAAGCTCTAAAATGTAGCTATGAGCAATTTGTGGTAATATAGTAATTCATTTTAAAAATGTTAAATTTTATGTGACTTTCATCCAAATGCCTAACTACTTGATTGTTAGTAAGATACTCTTTAAAACCTTATGATGACTCTGACATTGTATACTATATTTGAAAAAATATTTATTTATGTGTTTATATTCTTGAAATGTGTGATTTGGATGAATTTTGAATTTGGAGTTCTGACATGAGCTATAGGGAGTCATAAGGGCAAAAAATTTTTGAATATACGTGGTGCTATGCATTTTGGAGTCATAAGGGTATGTTATCTTATATGCTATCACATGGAGTCATAAAAGTTTAAATTATGAATTCTGATATCTATTGAGAGGTATATTATGTTTGTTTTGAGATATGAATATGAAGTGATTACTATTATGTTTCTTTATTGTTCTTCATCTATATTATTCTGCCATTTTAATTGATGCGTTAGAGATATTGTTTACTACTTTGTGGATATTTGTTTATTTAGAATAATCTATTTGGAACCTTGTATAAATGAATTTATCTTACCTTACTATTTTTGTTTTTTTATTGGTTATAATAATTATTAAAAACTTAGGTAGGTTGAATGTGACTTATTGAGTTGTGATTGCTCATACTTTCTTTGTGTATCTGCTTTAGGTCAAGATAAGGGGAAGCGACATGCTGAGTAGATAAGGGTTGCATGGTCCAAGTCAGAGTATGTATAAGTATGTTAGATTTTTGATAGTCATGGATTTTTCTTTCTAATCTGTACTGTCTGTGTCATGCCATATTTATATAAAATTATTTTGATTATAAACATTTCTGAGATGAATGAAAAATTTTTTATGATGATTATCCATCTATTTAATTAAAAACTTAGTGGCTATGTAGTCTATAAATGATTATCTATAGTTCTCTCTAATTAGTTCTTGAAAATTCCATTTTATCACCATCTGATGTGATATGATCGATTCTGTTTGTTGGTTATATCAGCTCGAGTTGTGACACTATAATTGGACAACGATGGTAGGAGGATCATTTTTTAGTGACTATGGTCAATGGATCATAGTTGGGTAACTGTGGTTGGAGGATTATGTTCAAGCAATAGTGGTTGAGAGATTATAATCATGTGATGATGATCAGAGAATTATAGTCGGATGATGATGGTTGAAGGATTATAATTAGACAACGGTGGTTAGAGGACCCTAATCGGGT